ATCTAGTGTTCCACTTCACCGATGGGTTGCAAAGCTGGGCCAAGCTAGAGTTGCAGCGTCGGGGAGTTGAGACAGTGGACGAAGCTATTGCGGTAGCCGAGTCACTGATTGATTTCCGCACCTCTGGACCGTCCGAATCCTCTAAAAAGAAGGACCAGGGCAGAGTCAAAGGTGGGAGCCAAACGAGATAATACTAGATCACCCAACTCAAAGAACTTTGAGAAGGGGGCTCGGCGGGAGGATTTTGAAGCAAGAAAGAAATCCTTTGTTCCAAAGGGAGGATGCTTTGTGTGCAAGGGGCCACACGCGATGAAGGACTGTCCGAAGATGGGGTCCTTATCCACAATTATGGAAAATCGGGAGACCGAGACTCCGGAAGAACCACCAAGCAAGATAGGGTCGCTACAGTTGCTGCACGCCCTACAGGCTAACCCGGTGGTAAGGCCAATGAGCAAGGGGCTCATGTATGTCGAAGCTCGGATAAATGATAAACCGACCCAAGTAATGGTGGACACGGGAGCCACACATAACTTCATGGCCATAGAGGAGGCCGTGAGACTTGGAGTCAGTTGGTCAAAGGGGGATGGCAGGATGAAGACGGTGAACGCTAAGGCGCAACCCGTTAGTGGGAAAGCCCGAAAGGTCGGGATGCGGCTGGGAAGTTGGTACGGACCAGTGGACTTCTCAGTCATTCCCATGGATGACTTTAAGGTGGTTTTGGGAATGGATTTCATGAGACAAGTCTCGGCCATTCCTATACCCGCCTTAAGTTCGGTGTGCATACTTGAAAAAGGATCACCATGTATGATTCCAGCCTTAGAAGGGAAAACCGATGGGATAAGGCAGCTATCGGCAATGCAACTCACCAAGGGGGTGAAGAAGGGTGAACCCACGTTTTTGGCCATGATGAAAGTAGAGGATGAACCTAAAAACGTGGAGTCCATCCCACCAGCTATTGAAGCCGTCCTTGAAGAGAACAAGGATGTAATGCCGGCTAAGTTNCCCGACAAATTACCACCGAGGAGGACGGTGGACCATCGA